TTCCCACGAACAATTTCAGTGTTGATAAATCAGCCTTTTCCCAAAACATGTTTCATCAGAAAATTCCCGACTAACTCTCTCCAGAGGTAGCTGCCTATGTTACAAACCTAGGTCCTTCCCTGGCTCTGGCAGGGCCTCTAGAATCAAGAGGCAAATACCAGTGGGATGGGCGACATCTTATTACCGAGATCTCCCTTGCATATTTCTACATCCCACATGGAAACAGCTCCAGTGTGCTGACTGACCTTTCTGCCGAATGGGTCTTCCAGCCATTGGAGCAAAGGTCTGTGATCAGCAGCTGCTTCAGCAGAACAGGAGGCACGGATGATGCGGGCTGGGCTGAGGACATACGGTCAATCCCACACCCACTGAGGTCAACGGCAAAGCTCCCCTTGACTTTTGTGGTGCAGGATCAGAGTCCTAGCACCCAAGGGAAAAAGCCAGGCTATCCTGGGCTGGAGCTGGCTCCAGAGACTGGTACAGAAAACACTGGGATTAAATCCAATAAAGAGTGTGTAGAAGAGCTCAGGCATGCCATGGAGTTTGATCACCAAATATTAGCTTTTAATGGGCCAAATCCCAAAGTCAATGGAGTTTTGCCTGAGTAAGGACTTCAGGTCTGGACTGCTTTTGATTACTTGCTGATAACACACCAGGACAAATAACTTCTACTCTCTGCTTCAGCCCTAGACTCCCTCCTTCTCTTTGGGTAAAAGCCCACTCACCCATTTCGAGGTTTAATTCTGCCAGGTTCTTTTCACTCCTGACAAGCAGCTGCCTTGGGGTGCTCCTGAGTTGGGGTACACAGCCTACGTGATGTGTCCTCAGGAGCAGGCCACGTAAGGGCACGTTAGAGGTCCTGCAAGGTCACAGGGGCTACCCTGCCTTTCACAGCACTTGTGAAATCAACAGGGGCAGAGGGCGCTTATGCATTTTGCAGGAGACATTCAGGCTCGGTTAAGTGACTAAAAACCTCCGAGGATCTGGCCCTCAGAGCTTCAGCAGATTAGGCTCTCATGCAGCAAGCTTATGAAAGAGCTAGTTTTCTTCAGGCATATAATGTACGCACGGTGGGCCAGATCCTGAGCTGATCATCCTCCGAAGCACCAGGGATGGCCATGGCTGGAGATGAGGAGGCCAGGGCCCTGAGGTGGCAGCAAGCAGTCACTTTCTCAGGTCCTTGGCTGGCTGGTTCTTGCTCACATGCTCTGGGTCTAACTGATCGTCATAGGTGGAGTTGGGAAGGAATGTTCCCTCAGGTCAGACTGGCAGTGACCTTGGGAGGGGGGTTTTCACCTTCCTCTGCAGCATGTGGGTACGGGTCGCTTTCCCGGATTACCTGGGTATAGCTCATTAACCATTTCCCTGCCATTGCAGGGGCCTGGGACAGTGGTACACCCTCCTGTTCTTTCCCAAAGACACCCAACAGTCTAGCCTCTTGTGGGCTGTAATCTGTTGGTCTCATTTCGGTGGTTGGGTCAGTGTGCGGGTGCAGGGTGGGGCTGGTGGCCTGGGATCTACAGGAGGTCAGACTGGGTGATCTGATGGGCCTTTCTGGCCTCAAACTCTATGACTCTTTGAAGGGAGCTCAGCACAGGCCCCTTTGCACTCCCCTAATCCTGCAGCTGATCTGCACCAAACTCATCGACTCCGTACAACTTGGAGCACCCCCGACAGAACTTGGCTGTAACGTGGTTGTCAGAATGGCTCTGCACACGCTGACTTCACTTGTCAATGCTTCTCCCCGCCAGCATCCACGTGGAATTATTCCATTCTAGTCCTGTCCTTTGTGGTTCTGTTTCTGGGCCTCCTTCTTCTGGGAATAAACATCATGGCAAACAGGTAAGACACACAGAACTTTAGGGGTACAGGGAGGCTGTAAAACCCACTGTTGGGGCACAGGGGAGAGCAAGGCCATGGAGACACTGGGACAGCACCTGCAGGAGGGACAGCTGCTAAACCCTGTACAGAGTGCTCCATGGATGTGCTCCTGAGCGGGACAAGGCTGTAATCCCCTCAGTGCTTGTCCTTAGAGGCAGCCAGGGTAGGGATAACTGGGTTCCCCCTCCTTAGGTGCACAGGCTCTCTGCATGTGGAACGCCAACAGACCCCAGTCGTCAGCAGGCGGGATCGAACCTGGAGCCTCTGGAGCTTAAAGCATGAGCCTCCCACATGAGCTAAAAGCCAGCTGGCTGTTAGCTAAGGCTGTAGAGCAAAATCATTTAACTCTCTCTTTAAGTGGTCTCGGTGCCACTAGATGGGACAGAACAACTCACCCAGGAGGTGTGTGGGTAACACATGCTCCCCCCGACACGCCCGCGCATCACCAGCCAGGACACAGCCTGTGGGATTTTGGTTGAGAAACATGCTGTTTTAAATGGGATCTTTATTACGATTGGTTTTAAGAAGAGGTGATTCAAAAAATCATTCCAGTGGGTGTCCACACAAAGACAGAACCATTTTCAAACCTACTCCAGTTCTTACTTACTCACTAGGCTGCTAATCTGAATTCACTGCAGGGCTCTAGTGACTGAAAGCTGTTGCCATCTGATGGCTGCCGAGTGGCCAGCAGAGAAATTCTTACGATTGTGTGCCAGGCACCAAACAAAATCACTTGCACATCTGAAATATTAGATCAATAAGAGTTAACAGTTTGCATTTCCATCATGCTTTGGACCTGTTTCCTGATGTACTGTGCAAAGGCAGGTAGTTGTTATCCCTGTTTTACAGATGAAGTAAATGATGCCTGGAGAGGTTTAGCATCTTAATACCCCATTCCCACAGTGGAAGAAATCCCAGATCTGTGCTCTTTCCTTTAGAACAGGAAGGAAGGCCCAGTGGTCAGTTCAGTTTCTTGTTCTGCTCTACCACCAACTTCTTGTATGACCTTGGGTAAGTCACTTAGCCTTTCTGTGCCTCAGTTTCCCCATACATAAACTGGAGATAATAGCATGTCTCCAACTCACAGAGCTACTAGGAGAAAAGATCCATTTAAATAAGATTGCGAGGAGCTCAAATACTCTGAAAATTTGGGCTGAATAGGTACCTAAGATAGATGCCCCTTTGCCTCGCCTATTCAAAATAATCTTTCACACCGTTTGGTTTCTAGAGCAAAAGTAGGATTTAATCATTGTCAGATACAGCATCAGAGAATGTGTCAACCCTCATAATCCAGGTTCTGCTGGGATAACAAGTATTACACCACTCTGCTGTGCTAAAACACATTGGTCGAGTACCACAGAGCTGAGAATGAGTCTTCTCCTCAAGCAACAATCTTTGCACCACACTCAGGTTATATAATAATAAGAGTTTTCTCTTCATCTAAAAGAAGAAAGAAGCAGCAGCAAAGTGTTAGGCATTTGATTTAGATCAGGGGTCTCAAACTCGAATTACCAGGAGGGCCACATGAGGACTCGTACGTTGGCCCAAGGGCCGCTGCCCCCGCCCCCCACTCTACCCCTGCCCCTGCCCGCGTGGTGCAGCAGGGGGCTCAGGGCAGGGGGTTGGGGTGCAGGAGGGAGTGCAGGGTGCAGCAGGGGGCTCAGGGCAGGGAGTTGGGGTGCAAGAGGGAGTGCGGGGTGTGGCAGTGGGTTGGGGTGCAGGCAGGGGGCTCAGGGCAGGGAGTTGGGGTGCGGGGTGCAGGAGGGGTTCAGGTTCTGGCCCAGCGCCGCTTACCTTGAGCGGCTTCGGGGTGGCAGGGGTGCGCACCGGGGCCAGGGTAGGCTCCCCTGGCTCTGGCCCCAGCCCCATGCTGCTCTGCTCCACTTCACACAGTGTCACCAGCAGCTGCTGGAGTCAGCAAGCTGGGAGCTGTGGCCCTGGGGAGAGGCGGTGGCAAACAGCTGGGGGCTGCAGGGACGGCCACTGAGAGTAAGGGGGGGCATGCCTGGGGGGCACATGACTCAAGCTGTTGGGGGAGACAAAGCTTTAAATTGTGCCCCCCCTCCCCCCAGCAGGCACCAGTTGTCTCTGGCAGAAGTCCCTAGCCCCACTACCCCTGCCCCAGGGCAGAAGCCCTGAGCTCTCCCCCACCCCCCAGTCTGATGGATGGAGAAGGAACGGGCGGGGCAGCTCTGCGAGTTGTACTTTAACTGTAAAAGAGCTGCAGGCGGCTCACGAGCCATGGTTTGGCCACCCCCCGATGTAGACAACTTGGTGTATTACGTTTTCTCGTTGGATTCGCTGTAGTAATATAAATGGCAGCTGTGTGTACTAAAACACTTCACTCCATTTACACTCCCGGACGCCTCTGGGGTTTTCTAACCACCATCGGCGAATGTACGCTCCGCGCCGAGCCGTGCGTATGCCAGTTCCACACCTGCCGCACGGAAGCCTGCAGTTTCACTTCTTGATTCTTTTTGTATCCCTCCCCATTAGAAATAGGAAGATTATCCTCATGTGTGAACAAGCTGCCAAACCAGCTGAGCCGGAAGCCAAGCCACCCTTTGTGGATTTGAAGGAAGATAATAACTTGAATCCTTTCATGCAAGATTTGCTGCCCAAAGGACAAAGACCAGGGGAGGTTTTGGTTCAGTGGAAGGATGGCAGTGTTACAGCCCTGTATGCAGAGAAGTCTGAGGAGGACATGTAACCGTGAGCGCAATCCAAGTCTAGACCCCAGACAAATATTTCACCAAGTGTCATGTAGCTAAATTCATGCTGACTGGCGCTTTGAAAGTTAAGCACAGCTTATCAAAGGGAATAAAAAGAAATGGCAGAGGAGATTTCTTAGCATGAGCTGCTCTTGACTCAGATAGTCTGGTCTGGTCCCACCGGCTTTGATGCCAATACGGCCTGATCCTTACCTGCTGCTGTCATTTGGTTCCAAGGCTACTCCTACATGCCAGCCTTGCCCACCCTCTCTCAGCTGTCACTCGCTTCCACTGCAAAACAATTATATGAGCCAAACCAGACAAGGAAAGGGGGAGGATTTTCCTGCAGTCAGCCAGGGAATGCATGCTTTTAAAAAAAAACTCTGCGAAGGTTCATCGAGAAAATGCTGAAGCTAAGCAGATGGGCTGACGCCTCGTCAAAAGTTGCCTTTATTAAAATATTTTCCAAAGTAGTTGATTGAAATTGTGTAATTATAGATACATGACTTTACTCTGCAGAGAAGTGCAATTCCATACAGAAGCAGAGCAGTTACTGTCCCCAAACCATGGACAACAAGGAAAATAAAGTACATAACCTTTCTTAAGGAAAAGGGCCTGTTCATTGTGAATTTTGCTCTTGGTTGAGTGTTACTGAGCATTCTCCACAGAGAGCATGGACTGGAGACACCCACAAATAATTTAAGACAAATGGAAAATATATCAATCTTATACACAAACGATTTTGTTTAAATCCACCCAGTAAAGGAGTATTCCATTGGCTAAGTCTTTGAAAAGGAACATTGCATTGTAAAAAAAAAACCTTACTCAATATATTTTTGGTACAAGTTATTTCAGTGTGCAGGCTTTTGTTTTTAGATACCTGGAAGTGTTTATTCTGCTGCAATTATATTTGCATTATATATTTGCAATATATTTATATTTTTCCATTTCATTTGAAAACCTCTCCTTGCTTATTGCTTAAACAGCAAAATGCAAACACTGCTGATTTGATTTGATATGCATGCCATCAGCTTTGTTTGAATTATTTAAATCACTGTGTCACTGGATGGGTAATAAGTACTGCTTTCCTTTTTCTGTATAGACTAGACTCCACCCTGTGTACATTTCTGGATTCTAGTTGCGGTTGTCCTTTCATGAGAAAGGCATACCAGTTGCAGCGTGCTAACATTCCACTAGGGGGGGCTCTGTGGTCATTAAATGATATTTATTGGCCTTGGAGCACACTGTCAACATTTTGCTAGCTTTTGCTGAACACAATACTGGCAATAAGGACTTTCATCTGCACACGCGCTGTAGCAAGTTACCTGAAATGGGATTTGTAGATCTCTAAACAATGGACCTGTTCCTGCTCCCATGGAAGTGAAGGGAGTGTTTCCACTGATTTCAATGGGAGTCACACAGGATACAAACTCTGGATTTGCAGACCAATCCAGTTAGGGCTGTAAATACATATCAGTAATTTTAGGGGACAGAACCTTAGAAGAACACTGACATTTTAAAAAACGCTGGAAAGCTAGGAAATTTTCAGTTACAGAAACCCTTTAAAAAACCCTAAAAAACCCCAAAACCCTAATGTTGGAAAGTATGGAAATTCAGTCAAGATACCCCAAACAACCTTATCTCCAACATGTATCTCTGACCACCTTCTATCCAGATTCATCAGACATTATGCCTTCACACTGCAGATCTTCAGCACTGACAACATGAGCCAAATACTACAGCTTGTCCGGAGTACAGCCATTCCATGTTGTGGTAACTTTCAAAGTTGCAAAGAGAGAGCAAGGTTCCTGGGATGTGGGAGACCTGGGTTCATGTCCCTGGTCTGCCAGAGTCAAAGTGATCTCAGATGAAAACTCCGCTATGAATCAGCCAGAAGCAGGACTTTAACCCAGGCCTCCCTCATCCCAGGACAGTGCACTGACAACTAACCTGCTCTCCCACATGCCAGCTGAATGCCTTAGCCACTCAGCTGCTTTCTCTCTCTCTCTAAAAACTCTCCCACATGCCAGCTGAATGCCTCAGCCACTCAGCTGCTTTCTCTCTCTCTCTAAAAACTTCCGGGCGAAAGTTTTGTGAAAACCAGTATGTCTCCACAAACCATCCTGGCTCTGATGAAGTCGTATATTCCATCCAAATATTCCCACTACAGGGTATCAAACTGGGCAATACATTTGTGCCCTCTACATGATCACTGCATTTAGATACTCTGGACCCACTTATTACATGGGCCGCACTGCTTGTCTAATCAGCTAGTGTGTATTTAAGGGAGCTGATGTTTCAAGAAGTGGTGATACACACGTACAAGCAGAGGATCTGGCCTCTTGGGAGAACAATGTAAAGTTTATTTACCCTACGCACAGGGCGAGGGCATTCGGCTTCTCATCCTGCTGACGTGCCGAATATAACATAGGCTTCATCTCTCCCTCTCTCTGTCCTGCTTCTGCTATAACAAATAGCTCTACCAACACCCAGTGCAAACGCTAGGACTAATGTGCAAATATCATGTCAATACTGAGCTATAGGGACTGGACAAATAGTCAGTGATTTAGAAGGATGTTATGACAAAGTTTCAGACTCTTCTGCACTCAATCCCAGGCCTGTTCGCTGCATTCCTACCAAAGTGCTTGGCTGTAGATCTAAGGCCAAATGCATTGTCAGTAAATCATGGAAGATAGTCTGTAAGCCACTGCTGCCATGGAGATTGTCAAATATGCCACTGCAGAAGTTGGAGGAGGTTCCTCGGGATGTCATGAAATCCAGTGGCTGCTTCTTGCCCATCCCTTGGAGGGGCCAAGGCTTAAAATATTTTAAAGCCCTTCAGTAAGGTCAACGTGGGAGCTTTCCTCTTGCTTTGAGCCCGTGACGATTTCACCGTGACCAGCTTGGCTTGTGCCACGGAGGGAATCTCTTTGTAGTTGACCGTGGAGAGAGTGTTGAGCGTGCAGCTGGCCAGGCCATGCTTGGAGGCCACGGCAGTCGGGGCAGCAAGGTGTAGGAAGGGCCTCTCCTCTGTGATGAACAGCGGTCGGACTGGCAGGTTCCTCTCCATCTCCCTCCTCACTTCCCGCGCAGCTTCATGGAACACATGCTGTACAGCCTCAAACTCCAGGCAGGCAGAGACCTCGTAAAATGAGCACCCATGCTTGGCAGCTAGAGACACCCCTTCGGCTTTGGTGACCTGTCTGTCAAAGGAGAACAGGAAGGATGTGAGCGGAGCAGAGACCACAAACCATGACAGCTGATATGCACGGGCTCAGGGCCTGAGATCATCGCTCCCTCTAATGGCCAGCCTTAGCCACTACAACAGCCTGATACAAAGTGGCAGCTTATAGAGAGGGTTTGAGCGCCAGATAAAGGAATTTACGCTGTAGTACCTGATCCATTTCAGTCAATGAAAAGACTCCCATTGACTTCATTAGGTTTTGGTTTGCTTCACACTAACTACCCTAGTGCCTGGATATGCACAGCCACAATTTATTACACTGGTACCCTTCTAAAATGAGGGTTCAGGCCCCGATTCAGCCAAAACTCAACATTAAACATGTGAGTAGTCCTATTAAAGTCAGTGCATTTAAGCCAATCGGACTATTCCTATGCTTAGTTAGGCATGTACTGACTCAGGGCCTTGGATGCCACAAAGCTAGGAAGTCTGGCAAGAGACCACCCTGGCTTAACCAGGAAACCTTCAATGATCTGAAACTCAAAAAAGAGTCCTACAAAAAGTGGAAACTCGTTCAAATTACAAAGGATAAATATAAACAAACAACAGAAGTCTGTAGGGACAAAATTAGAAAGACCAAGACACAAAACGAGATTAAACTAGCTAGAGACATAAAGGGTAACATGAAAACAGTCTAGAAATGCATTAGACGCAAGAGGAAAACGAAGGACAAGGTAGACTTGTTATTTAATGAGGGGGGAAAAACAATAACAGGAAATGACAGAAGTGCTAAATGACACTTTTGTTTCAGTTTTCACCAAAAAGGTTAGTAGCGACCAGATGTCTAACTTAGTGAACACCAGTGAAAATGAGGTAGGATCAGAGGGTAAAATAGGAAAAGAACAAGTTAAAAATTACTTAGACAAGTTAGATGTCTTCAAGCCACCAGGGCCTGATGAAATACATCCTAGAGTACCCAAGGAACTGACGGAGGAGATATCTGAGCCATTAGCGATTATCTTTGAAAAGTCATGGAAGACGGGAGAGATTCTAGAAGACTGGAAAAGGGCAAATATAGTGCCCATCTATAAAAAGGGAAATAGGTTAACTTCAGTGCCTGGAAAGATAATGGAGTAAATAATTAAGCAATCAATTTGCAAGCACCTTGAAGATAATAAGATGATAAGTAACAGCATGGATTTGTCAAGAACAAATCATGTCAAACCAACCTAATAGTTTTCTTTGCAGAGTAACAAGCCTTCTGGATATGGAGGAAGTGGTAGATGTGGTATATCTTATCCTTAGTAAGGCTTTTGATACAGTCCCACATGACCTCCTCATAAACAAATGAGGAAAATACAATCTAGATGGAGCTACAACAAGGTGGGTGCATAACTGGTTGGAAAACCGTTCCCAGACTAGTAGTTACCAGTGGTTCACAGTCAAGCTGGAAGGGCATAATGAGTGGGGTCTCGCAGGGACCAGTTCTGGGTCTGGTTCTGTTCAATATCTTCATCAATGATTTAGATAATGGTATGGCGTGTACACTTATAAAGTTTGTGGACGATACCAAGCTGGGAGGGGTTGCAAGTGCTTAGGAGGATAGGATTAAAATTCAAAATGATCTGGACAAACTGGAGAAATGGTCTGAAGTAAACAGGATGAAATTCAATGAGGGCAAATGCAAAGTACTCCACTTAGGAAGGAACAATCAGTTGTACACGTACAAAATGGGTTACAAAATGACTGCCTAAGAAGGAGCTCTGTGGAAAGGGATCTGGGGGTCATAGTGGATCACAAGTTAAATTTGTGTCAACAGTGTAACACACTTACAAAAAAAGCGAACATCATTCTGGGATGTATTAGCAGGAGGGTTGTAAGCAAGACACGAGACGTAATTCTTCCACTCTACTCTGTGCCTCAACTGGAGTATTTTGTCCAGTTCTGGGCCCCACATTTCAGGAAAGATGTGGACAAATTGGAGAAAGTCCAGAGAACAGCAACAAAAATGATTAAAGGTCTAGAAAATATGACCTATGAGGGAAGACTGAAAAAAATTGTGTTTGTTTAGACTGGAGAAGAGAAGACTAAGGGGGGACATGATAACAGTTTTTTGTACATAAAAGGTTGTTACAAGGAGTAGGGAGAAAAATTGTTCTCCATAACCTTTGAGGATAGGACAAGAAGCCATGGGCTTAACTTGCAGCAAGAACGGTTTAGGTTGGACATTAGGGAAAACTTCCTGACTGTCAGGGTGGATAAGCACTTGAATAAATTGCCTAGGGCAGTTGTGGAATCTCCATCATTGGAGATTTTTCTGAGCAGGTTAGACAAACACCTGTCAGGGATTATCTACATAATGCTTAATCCTGCCATGAGTGCAGGGGACTGGACTAGATGACCTCTCAAGGTCCCTTCCAGTCCTATGATTCTATGATTAAAGTGTTATGAAAGTACTCATTAGGAACAATCGATCAATCTGTCATTGCCTTCCAACCCAAACTCACTTTTCAGAAAATCAATAGACTCTCTGTGTGTAACTGGGAAGGGAAAAACGAGAGGGGAAACCCTAGTGATTACCTGAACTCTTCTTAAAAAAGCCCACAACAGGTGTCCAACTGCCTGGCCCCTGCGGAATGGAGGGCTAAGGCCACCTCAGCTTCCCCTCCTACTCACACAAATGCTATGGGCAAGGACATTACTGGCGAGGGTACCTTAGGGGAGCCACACCCAGGGGCTTGGGGCTGGCTGGATCCTGAGCCTGAGGAGATTGCCGTCTGCCCAGCAACCTCAACTGCTGGGAAGGTCGTAGCTAGCGATGGGCCTGCCCCAAGCCTTGAATACCAAAGCCCTGGACATCCTGACCAGGAGCCAGACTTTGACCTGCTCTCTCGAACCCCTGGAGATTTAGGGACAGGCAGACCTGGACTGCCCAGGTCAGGCTCATCCATACTCATAGCTGGAAGTCAAAAGGAGCTCCCTGAAACCCACCGAGCCACTGTTGTTACATCAGACATTGCACCTAGCACATAACAGCAGGGAACAGTCAAGCTGCTGAGCTGATGGCATTGACCTGGGTTTGTACTGGAAATGGCCCACCTTGATTATCATATACATTGTAAGGAGAGTGATCACTTTAGATAAGCTATTACCAGCAGGAGAGTGGGGTGGGGGGAGAGAAAACCTTTTGTAGTGGTAAACACCCATTTTTTCATGCTTTGTGTATATAAAAAGATCTTCTATACTTTCCACAGTATGCATCCGATGAAGTGAGCTGTAGCTCACGAAAGCTTATGCTCAAATAAATTGGTTAGTCTCTAAGGTGCCTCAAGTCCTCCTTTTCTTTTTGCCAATACAGACTAACACGGCTGTTACTCTGAAAGGTGTTTGATAGAGGATCTGCACCCCAACAGTGTGCCTAGGGATCTCAAGACAGGGACAGTGCCTGGACTCTGTTCAGACTCTGGGGGCTCAGAGAGGTGGGCGCAGTCTGGTGGGTACCAAAGACGGGGTGTTAAACTATATCTGTGACAGGGGCTTATCTGGACTTCAAAGGCTGGTAGGGAGCTTTGCAAGCTCCAGCTGTGATCATCTGCAAAGAGAGCAAGGTTTCCAGTAATAGCTTGGATTTACTTGCAGGTTATTGTTCTCAGCTTTACGGGGGGGTGGGGGGGAGTGGCTGGCACTGGTGTTCCAGGGACACCCTGCAGTTCCTTCCAGCTTTAATCAGTTCAACAGGGAAAATGTAAAACCCCTCCCTCTGCGTGCAGTGGGTTCCTGTGGTCGGAATAGACACTGGTGCCACCAGGCTCCAGAATGAGCAAGAAGTGGGGAGTATCGGCCTAGAGTAGCATGCAAGGCCAGCAACCACATCAAAGGCATTTAGCCCCCTGCCGAGAGACCCACAGGATAAAGAACTCTGCGAAAAGGAGTCAGACAATGTAACAGGAGGAGCTGGAGCAGGTTCAAATGCAGCCTAAAAAAACCAGCTAAAAATAACAGCAACCTCAAAATAAGCAAATCACCTTCCAGCCAGTGCCCGGACACAGGGCAGGGAAGAGGGTGGGGTATGGGGGGGAAAATGTTCGGAACAGGAGGCAAGGTCACAAAGAGCAAGGGGTGTCCTGACCCACATCTACAACCAGCAATTAGGGACTATGGGAAAATGAACAAAAGATTCAGCATTGGATTGTGCATCTTAGCGCTACAGAACAACCGAGCCATCAGAACTGAATCTGTGGGCGCCTCCCTACAGCGGGAAGCCGATCACAGGCTGCCATCCGGCCAAGAAAGGGCAGAGGGGGAGCGACAACAGGGCAATGACAGCCAAGAGTCAGATAACAAATGCCCTGTCTTAAATATAACAGAGGGAGTGTGACTGAGTGTGAGAGAGAGTGTCTGAGTGCACAGAAATTCAAAACAGTTAGCTAAACTCGAGTATCAGAATAAGCCCTCAGATGCAATAACGAAGGCATTTAATATAAGTTAATGGCTCTGCTTCATTTTTAAAACAGATCTGCCATTTAAGAAGGTCTCTACTGTACAACAATGGACCCTTCGGCCATTTTAGGCAGTAGCTAGCAGGATGCACATTCTGAAGCTCATAGGAGTTAAGCCCCAACAGCTGATCAGCTGCGCTCCCCCCACCCCACACACACATCTGTGAGATCTTCAGTGGATGACAGTGATGTGTGTTCCCTTCAATTCACCTTAACAGAATAAACATACATCTATCTGCCTGGCTGCCAATCCTACATCAACTATGCAGCTAAATGTTCCCCTTTCTCGGCAGAGAAAATCATCAGAAATGACAATCTCACATTCATTCTTTCAGAGCCTCCCCCAAACATTAACATCAGAGCCACGCCTCCAGCCCTTCCGCGAAACCCATTGACTTCAAGAAGACAATTAATGAGTGAGGACAGCAGCATCTGGTCCTGGGGATTCAGCCAAACATATGCTCCTTGCTGCACTTTTCAACCCAAAAGCGAATTCAGTTCTGAAGGAGAAACACTCCATGGCTCAGTGTAAAATAATATCATATTCTCAGTCCAGAGCTCAGTGAACAGGTGTTCACGTCACAGAATCACCACGATCATCGGGACTAACTTGTCCCCTTTTCTCAGCAGAGACATGCAGGCCTGGCTGGAGCCCAAACTCCCTTGTCCCCTCCAGATCAAGTTGAGCTACCTTGTCAGGGAAGCTTGCATTGCAGCTGCCCTTCTCTGCATAAAGTGAGGACTCCGGGGCTAACAATGGGGCAACTTGAAATAAATTAAAGGTTAAAGTCAGCACAGAGCGCATCTCCACGGGACCGTCTGGGCTAAGCAACGTCACCCTTCTGCATGGCACAGATCGAAGATTGTTACCTGTATTGCTCCAAATCCAGCTTATTTCCCAGCAGGAGGATGGGATAATCGTGCTGAATGCCTTTCGCATGGAGGGAAATGATATCCAGGTACTGACGGCAACCTTCAAAGCTCCTTTTGTTGTCAATGCTGTAGACAACCATGAATGCATTGGCCCAGTTGAGATAGCGTTCGCAATTCACTGGTACATCCTAGAAGAGTAATACAGGACAGCATTAGCATAGGCCCCCAGTGCCACTGTCAGAGCCCGTCTGGGGGCATTTGCTCGTCTCGCGCTTTGTACATTGTTTCAAAACTAAGCTTATTTCAAAAGGCCGTTTAAGAACAGACTTGGCTTGGCATGAAAAAGTTCCTTGTGCAACGAATCAATGATATGAAACAGCTCACGCTGCCCCGAATCAGAGCAATCAAAAGCACGCAGTGGTGGAGTCAGGTTTTCTCTCGGGCAGGCTTCCAGAAAGACTAGCCTTTCAGGCAGCCTTTTGCATTGATTCATTTAATCGGTGGGTTTTCTTTGTAACAAAGAAATTCTGTTTGTGGCAGGGAGAGCCGGTGGGAAGGCCTTCTGGGATGGACTCCAGGGGGCCTGATCCAAAGCCCAGTGGAAGGCAGTGGAAATCTTTCCATTGACTCCAGTGGGCACTGGTCTAGGCCTTGAGCATGGGGGAGGCCCATGAGAGACAGGACTATCTGTGAGCGGAGGCGTAAGGTTAAATCTACGTAGTGTCCCAGGGCACAGCAGCACCAGGACCCCCCTCTAAGTTACTGCGCTATGTGTTTATCCTGAGACTTAAGCCTATGTGACCCGATTCCCCAAATATGGATGAAATACACACAGTACAAATCAGCAGAGGGGAGGGTGTGCAAAGGTGGCTTAAAGCTCACTTCTCTGCGGCCCTGATCCTGCTGCAGCTGACAATGAAAGGCCCCCTCTCGCCGGGCCCCCTTTCGCTGGCGACGCCAGCAACTGGAAGGAGTCTGGGATCAGAGCCCCTGCCCAACTTGCGGGTCACCAGTACACAGACACGCCAGCTGGTCTCGGTTAAACATAGAATCTGGAGTTACTCCATGAGCTACAAACAATAAAATATATATCCACAAGTGAGTCACTGTCTGTGTCGCGCTGCAGAGACATCGCTGATGTATTGTACAAGTGAAATTGGCTAGCCTGGACTTGTAACGAACAACAGAACAGCCTGCCCTGGGGGCCGTGGGAGATTGGAGAGCGTTCACTTCAGTGGCAGGAGCAGCGGTCAGCACCTGGGCTAAAGCTCTGCCAGCTCTTGATGGGACAAGCAGCCCCAGTGGTGCTAGGGCCCTTTCGGGCTGGAGGTTTTTCCAAAGAGCCTCCGAAAGTTGAGCGCCCAGCTCCCACTGCACTTCGGTGAGTTCCAGGTACCACCAGCTATCTCGCCTTTATTACTTACAGTGCTCTCCTAGGCAACAGATACAAACCCTCCACCCCTAGCAGAGTTTTCACCCCAGCTGGGAAGAAGAACCAGAGATGTGAGGAAATCACTAGGGACCTTGCTATAACTATCAGTTTTATGTGGCAGGCGCCCAGATACCACAGTGACAGGCAGCAGGATAAAACCCTACCCTTGATTAACTTGGGTAGAAATAGCTGATACGCGTAGTCAGCCACTTGTAGCTCTGACCTCCCTGCTTGCTCCTTTTCTCTCTCATGACGAGGTCGATATTCGGGATGAAATTGGCCCCTGTGCATCAGGCCAGAACAGGGCCTCCGCACTGAGGTCCCCTGGACATACGCCTCGTGCTGGCCTCTGCACGGGGGCAACGTTCACCCCTGGTGAAATGTGAGACTTCACAGCAAACCATGCAGAGACGGTTTCCCCATTCGTTTCACAGTCACCACCCCGTTCTATTGAGATCCCTGCTGCGTGCTCCACGGGGAGCAGGAGCCTGCCATCCTTTCTAGAGGCACAGAGACTTCCTCCTTCGATCCCCTGGAGAAGCCCTTCGCCATTACCTGGTCAGCTGTGTCCATCACTTTCATCAGCACTGGTTGCTGGTCCACAGTTTCTTCTGATGTGTAGGTGTCCTCTGCAAAACAGATGAGCTCTTGTGAGCGGCTGGGACAAGAGCCTTTCACATTCTGGGCCACACACTCCGGGAAGGCTGAGCCCCAGGTATTTACATCTTCCACTCAATGAAAGTGGAGACACAGGCGCCAACTCTGTGGGTGCTCCGGGGCTCCAACGCCCATGGAGAAAAACTAGTGGGTGCTGAGCACACACCAGCCACAGCTGTTCGGCGGCGCCACCGGTCAGCTGTTTGGTGGCTGGGGAAGGTGCTTGCGGGAGGGCGGAGAGCAGCGAGTAGCAGTCGGGTGGGGGGTTCGGGGGAGGGGGCGGAGCAGGGGTGGGAAGAGTCGGAGCAAGGACTCGGGGGAGGGGGCCTCAGGGCGAAGTGGGGGGGTGGAGCACCCCTGGGGAAAAATAAAAATCAGCACCCATGAGTGGAGGTCCCTGGTCCTGGCCCCTGAAGAACAGCACTGATCACAAGGCTCTAGCCACGAGATCTGCTAGCAGTGGGTGAATCGGGATGGCATAACAAGCCATTACTCCTCACTGCTTAGCACACCTTCCACACGTTCCATCGTTTTAAGCACGACTAAGACGAGTCAGTGTTGAGCTTAGCCATATAATTTGACTAGACCACGGTTATGCCTGAACGCATTGCTATTCTTTCATAGCTGCATCACCGTGGTGCCTAGAGGCATTACTCAGACTCGAAGGCCCATTGTCCTAGGTCAGGGGTTCTCAAACTGGGAGTCGGGACCCCTTAGGGGGTCGTGAGGTTATTACATGGGGGGTTGCGAGCTCTCAGCTTCCACCCCAAACCCCGCTTCGCCTCCAGCATTTATAATAGTGTTAAATATAAAAAAGTGTTTTTAATTTATAAGGGTGGGTCGCACTCAGAGGCTTGCTATATGAAAGGGGTCACCAGTACAAAAGTTTGAGCACCACTGTTCTAGGTGCTGTACAAACATGTAAAAGGACTGTCCCAGACCCAAAGAGCATACCCTCGAAGACAGGTGGCATGTGAAGGATGCAGGGGAGTGAGACGCAATGAAATCAATACAGTTGTTACCTAGAGATACATTTGCCACGTGTTTATTACTACAAAGAGACAAAAGAAGGCCCAGTTATTCCCATTGGCCCCTGAAGCTAGTTGATTGGGTGGTTTCTGACGGGGCTTGTGCCAGAAGTGAGTCTGGAAAACAGAGCTTTTTGGACAATTGTCTGATTGGAGATGGAAACCTCCCCCGTTTTCCTAGATTCTTGGAAAACAATCTACTCTAATTACTTGTTGGTATTTATAAAGTGCTGATCGGACTGATCTGGTCACAGGAGCAAAGTCACCGAGCTGTAACGCCAATGAAGGCAATGGCAGTTACTTCAGGGATGGTTTTGGCCCGCAGATGTTACTGCCACTAGCCCATCACAGTTTCCCTGTAAAGAACACTGGGCCAGATCCTCTGGCACATATGGACACTTTGTGCCGCACCACAGGTGGATGCTGGCTGTAGAACCTGGCCCCAGGAGGGTCATCCCAGTTCAAAATGGACCCTTTGGTGGCTCAGAGTCAATCATAGACACATGCCTTCATCACGCCCTCCCTGCTGCTGTCATGTGGGCTGTGACCAGAGAAAAGAGGACATGTCTGGATGTCCCCATCTTGTGCCAATCGCTGACTGGTTTCAGCCCCCTCAGCTGGTGAAAATTAGAGCAGTCTCGAGGCTGCTCCAGCCTGGTGCAGGGGGCTGGCCCTGCATATAGCAGCCCCAGGATCAAGGGGATGGACTAGGGAGATTTCTATGTCCTTCTCTGAAGCCTCCACCCCGCAGTTGCTGCCTTCTGTTGTGAGCTCCTTGGCGATAGCCACAGATCCAGCCCATTATTGGTACAACAGCCTCCAAGGAATTTCAGTGAGATTCTCCTCCACAGTCCTGTCTCTGACCCAACAATGAGGCCTTTGGTGGCCTGCACCGCTGGCATCCCTCAGTCTCTTTTGTATTGTGCAAAGCTCTCCGTTGAGTCAACGCTTCCGCTGCACAAGTGTCCTGAGCCCTCTTTCCCAGGTAAAATAAAGGCTGTATTTTCACATATACATCTGTGTCTGCACCCACAACCAACACATGTCACATTGGATGTGTACCCATGTAGCCTATGCAAATCAGGTATCAATGCACTCAGCTTACCCATTACACTTCTTAACAAGCCTTAAGATCTAATGTAGGCTATACTTCAGAATCCATAGAGCTCACAAGGACCTTCTGCCTGCCTACCTATCACTGTAGTACCTATGGGCCATTGCATACATGTACATGCATTCTATGGTTGGCTTCTCATATGAATGGCCACACTGGGTCAGACCAAATGTCCATCTAGCCCAGTATCCTGTCTTCTGACAGTGGCCAATGCCAGGTGTCCCAGAGGGAATGAACAAAACAGGTAATCATCAAGTGATCCATCCCCTGTCACCCATTCCCAACTTCTGACAAACAGAAGCTAGGGACTCCATCCCTGCCCATCCTGGCTAATAGCCATTGATGGACCTATCCTCCATGAAGTTATCTAGTTCTTTTTTGAACCCTGTTATAGTCTTGGCCTTCACAACATCCTCTGGCAAAGAGTTCCACAGGTTGACTATGCGTTGTGTGAAGAAATACTTCCTTTTATTTGTTTTAAACCTGCTGCCTATTAATTTCATTTGGTGACCCCTAGTTATTGTGTTATGAGAAGGAGTAAATAACAGTTCCTCATTTACTTTCTCCACACCAGTCATGATTTTATAGACCTCTATCACATCCCCCCCTTAGTCGTCTCTTTTCCAAGCTGAAAAGTCCCAGTCTTATTAATCTCTCCTCTTATGGAAGCCGTACCATACCCCTAATCATTTTGTTGTCCTTTTCTTAACCCTTTACAATTCCAATATATCTTTTTTGAGATGGGGTGACCACATCTGCACAAGGTATTCAAGATGTGGGCAAACCATGGATTTATATAGAGGCAATATGATATTTTCTGTCTTATTATGTATCCCAGGGATCGACAACCTTTGGCACACGGCCTGCCAGGGAAATCCGCTGGTGGGCCGGGACGGTTTGTTTACCTGCAGCATCCGCAGGTTCGGCTGATCGCCGCTCCCACTGGCTGCAGTTCGCCGCTCCAGGCCAATGGGGGCTGCAGGAAGCAGTGTAGCCAGAGGGATGTGCTGGCTGCCCTTCCTGCAGCCCCCATTGGCCTGGGACAGCGAACCACAGCCAGTGGGAGCCGCGATCGGCCAAACCTGCAGACGCAGCCGCTAAACAAACCGGCCCGCCCCGCCAGGAGGCTTACTCTGACAGGCCACGTGCCAAAGGTTGCCGATCCCTGATCTACTCCTTTCTTAAGGATTTCCAACATTCTCTTTGCTTTTTTGACTGCTGCTGCCCATTGAGTGGCAATTTGAAGGTAATTTTTTCCATTGAATTCTACTACTATGGTTTTACTTTTTTCTTTTGGACCCAATAGAACTCACTAGCTCCTCCACATTCTGAGCTTGATCCAGCTTCTATCAAAGTCAATTGAAAAAGTCCCTTGATTTCACTGGGAGTTTGCCTGGGCACTGTGTCAAGTGAAAATAACCTCCTGCTTCAGCTGTATCCTTCTGCTAAGTGGCCATCCCTCTTAAACCAAAAGTTGAATCTCCTTTTTAGGTTGAGTAAGAACCATCGTTTCCCCCTCAATCATAAACATTTCGACATATCTGCTAAACCTGGTTTAACAAACAAGTCTACAGTAGGAGAGCAGCATGTAGGTCATGTTTTGCTGTTAAAACATCAGCTGTCAAAATAAATCCTGTCACAAATGGTTCAGACCGGAACTGGAAAGAGTTTAACCCATTTCAGAATTAATGTGTTGCTTACTTGGCAATAGCAGGGGTTTATGTAAGTGAATGTCGCTATAAATTCATTTGATGAACTTCATCTGTTGCACATTTATTCAAGGAATGACATATCTCTGGCATGGGGGCTGCAGCTCAATGCAGGCGTTTGATCTTACTTCACCTGGGTTACGAGTTCACATCTCAATTATCCTGATGAGTTCGGTTTTGAGAAATGAGAGCAAAGGAAAGAGGTTTGCATGCTGCTGTTCGCCAGGGCTGGAAGTTTCATGGCCCAGGACAAGACTGTTCCATGCAACAAATATCAGGAAAGAGCAAGCGCAATAAGGGAAGGGCAGAATAGAAACATTCTGTTAACAGAAGGGAGGAGAGCGAGTACTGTAGGATCTCCTCTAAATGAATCAGCCAGGAGAGTTTGCCCATTCTAGCTCCTCTTGCTGACTAATATTCAGATTTCTGTTAGCCGGCAGCCATAACATTCCTAGGCAGAGGTTCTTGGTAGTAACGGCCATGGGACTTCATATGTGCACAGACAGAGGGTACTTCTACACAGACAGGGGTGCTAGAACCATCTGTATCGTGGGGGTGCTGAGACCCATTGAACCAAACTGTAAACCCTGTATATGATGAAAACCACTTCAAACTAGGAGGTGCGGCAGCATGCCCAGCACCCCTAGTTCCAAAAGACCTGTGGCATGGCCAGGGGTGGCCTGGGACAGCTGACCTGGGCTCGCGAGGCTCAGGCTGAGAAGTAAACATGGCTGTGTAGATGCAGGATCCCAGAGCTCAGGCTCCAGCCCAATCCCAGGTGTCTACACAGCAATTTTTCAGCCCTGGTCAGCCAACCCAGGTCAGTGGCAGGTTTTTATCCCTGTGTAGACATGCCCAGGGAGTACGGCAGGCTAGTAGTCTGAGTGCAGGTGTAGACACCAGGAATTCCTGACACTTGCTCTGCAGCCTTGTCACATAACTTTTCTGCCATCATTTCTCCATCTGGAAAATGGGTCAATAATTTTCTTAACAAGTCTGTGGCCACCTAACACCACACGAGAGATGTCACTATGCTGTATGCCATCTCTTCTCGAAAATTCATGCTGACAGCAGGGATAGATTGCAATTCTTTCTCCTCCAAACACAGATGCCACTCCCACTTGAGCTATAGGAAAATCTCCTGTAACTGATAGCAATAGAGGGCATATGACACACAGTCAAGCAATTCTGATCCTATCCTGTACAGAGCAGTGGTACACACATACACACTCAGAGTAGCCGATTCCTTACAAAGCTTACTTGCCTACTACACAGAGGAGTGGGAAAGCTAGTGGGCCTGATTTGCTATTGCCTTATACCAGTTTTGTGTAACTTCATTGATTCCAGTAGCATTAAACTGGTGTGAAACTGGAGTAACAAAGCAATGAATCCAGGTCAGTGTCTCCAAAGCCTTGTGATGATTACCAGTGCTAGGTATTACAATACAGACAAGAGCGTCAGTATTTTTCTCCAAAAATCCAAATAGCACAAATCAAGAACTCATCAATATATTTTCTTTTTTGGCCATCAGTAAAGGTAAAAAACACCAATTCAACTGGAAATCAAGGGTGTCTATTTCACAGTGGACCTACGGCTCAAATGCACATGTGCATATTCTGACAGGGGAGAGCATAGGCCAGCTGTCGCACAGATATGTTCAGAAAAGGTTTGATCTGGTAAGAAAAACAGAGCTATGCAGAATCAGGAGCTGGAGGCATGGTGGTGTTGTTGTCTGTTAACTTATGCTGCAATGGCTGTCTTTTTTTTTTGAGAAATGGGGAAGAAGAGATTAATTGTGAAATAACAATTGTGACAATAATGAATGTTCAGCAATTGCTCCAACTAGATATTTACAGTCATATTTTTGAGAGGCTTTAAAATATGGGAGGATTTCTCTCTCTTCTCCCTTCTTTAAAAATGAGTTCTTGAACAAGATCTGAGGAAAGGATTTTTAGGAACACAAGTTGCTGAGTTATTAGGTCTTTAGTCCGTTCTTTGCTAATGGCCACAATAAATCATTTGCAGTTCTTTATGATGCCCTGGATTTGGGCCCATAAAAATAGTTGTTAATTACTCAAATAGAGATTCAGTGGAAAAAATGCCCAGAACATTTAACTGCAGTCAGTGCAAAATATAGTTATCTTCAGACTTCTGCATCTGTTGCTCATTTCTGGGATATTAGTTTTCTACCAAAGTTAACACGTTCCCCAAATTGCTAGCTTGCAATTTCAGATGGAGCAGTGCACAGCTGAGACAGTGAAACACACTACAGGCCACATCCAAAAGCCACTGGGAATCTTTCCACTGACTTCTCCAGGCTTTGGAGCAGGCCTTAAGGGGAAAGAAAATAAATATGTTTGGAAGCATTGTTTCTCTGAGCAATGATGCTGCCTCTCTTAGGGCCTGACTTAAATCCTTTGAAGTCAATGGGAATCTTTCCATTGACGTTGACGGGCTTTGGATCACACACTTTTGTTCCAATGCAAACTCCTTTGCCCATGTGAAGAGGGCTTTGAGTAAGCGCAGGACAGCCCAGAGGTCAGTGGATGTGTCTCCTAATTTAGGATAGTTCAAGCCCCAGATTTGCGCTCTCGGTTTTGTTACAGAGAATGTTCATTTTCATCTGTAGTACTATCAGGTTTGTTCTAGGCTGGTTCTCTGCAGCAAAATTTTGCTCTGTTTTTGTGTAGCTCATTAAAATGAATGCGTTGTTTTGGGTTTACACTCACGCGCTTAGGGATTGTTCAAAAGACGATTGCAATGAACCTGAGCCTTTCCCTGAAATCAGCCTGAGCCTTTCCAAACTCACGATTGGATCCACTCTACAATAATGAGCCAATGTGTATCCATGTGATAGGGGATGAGCAGCCTGGCGAGGATATAGAATACACTATCGAGATTTCAAGAGATTATTCATACACAGCAGATAATAAAGGAAAAATGATGTGAAGGATACAAACCCCCCTGCTTCAGGGCATCACCAACCTCTAACTAGTGGGGGTCAGGAGGAAACTTTCTCTATGGAGAGATTATCCCATCACTGCCTACTGCAGAGTACACGCATCTTCCTCTAAAACCAGTGGTGGTTGCCACTTTCAAAGACAGGGTAGGGACTAGATCGTCTGATCCAGTCTGGCAATAACTACATTGCTTTGCTAGTGTCTTTAACCGTCTTTCCCCCGTTATGAATTTTTATGAGTTTTCAAACAACTCTGGCCAAGTCCTTATTCCTGACGAACACTGTGCCTCTGGAACAGAAGCCTTTCCATGTCGCCACAGTGAACGCCAGGCAGCTACGTATTTTTCAGCTGTCCTCTGTAACTGCTTCACAGACATCTGGATGCAGACTGAGAGGGAACCAAAAATAAGACAACTTGTGCCCATTCTCCCCTAGGTGGAGGAATCCCATGTAGGAACCGGGATTCTCTAGGCGTTCTCACTGGCAGAAGTCCCTTTATTCTTTTCTCAGGGTTGGGGAGGGAGGTAGAGACTTAAAACGGTGCATAGCCCTGGTGCTGACCTGCTGTGCAGGGGGAATTTTACCGCTTTGTGAAAGATCACTTTGTAAAGGGGGAACATATCCCTTGCGGCCCCCTGCTGATGAACATGAGTATAAGAAAAAAGGCTCTCAAATGCTGGGCAAAATCCTATAGTCCTTGCTCAGGGCCAAATTCCCACCCGTTTCACTGCTGCTGACTTCACTGGGAAGTTTATCTGAGGAAGACTGCAGAGGGAATATTTCTGAAATCATCTTGTCTTTTAGAGTTATTAATTGGACTAGTAATCCAATGCTACCTCCATAACTATGGAAGCTGTTCTTCTTATATTTATATATCTCTGCTGTCTGTAATGACAGTTTCAGTTTTCCTTTCTAGTCAATTTCCTGGGACAAGAGTTGTGATTTCTGTCATCTAGCCTTTCTCAGCCTGGTCCTGATCCCTTGATAGGTTGTCCCACACAGGAGTGTATTTATGTGACTTGTAAAACAAGATACCATCTGGAATGTGCATGGGGCTGAGAGAACCGGTAGCAAAGGAGCTGCATGTGGCGAAATGACAAGCAGAGAACAGCATAATCCCTTTTTTCTTAAACAAATAAGGCGCACATGATCTAGTCTATTCTAATCTATTCTATTCGCTCCTCTGGCACAATGGCGCTCTCTTCAATATGGGTAAATCTTGTCTGTGAGGAAGACAGGACGTTCCCAGGGGCTGGTCTGAGACTGTGGAGTGAACTCCCCCAGGATCTAAGGACCACCCTCACTTTCCACTCCAAGTGCACAGTGCATTTTTTTGACCTGCCATCTCTGACATAATATAGAGCAACGTGCGCTTGTGCACACACGCACGCACACAGAGACAACACCCTACCAAAACAACACACTCCACTGCCCACATTTCTCCCACTGGGGAGAGGATGAGAGAACAAACAACGTGTGACTGCGGTTAGTTACGGTTCTGAATGCCCTCCGGGAAGAGGCTCACGCACTATAACGATGAGCGTAGTATAGTAACCTACACACAACAGAGAATAGAACAGAACTGGTGTAAATCAGCGTAGATCCACTGACACCAATGGAGCTATGCCCGTTTATACCAACTGAAAATCCGACCCATCGTGAGAACAGCCCATGGTACCGGTCACTAACCCACAACTAGTGGGGCAGATTCTGCTCTCTCAGCGGTGTAACCCCATTGACTTGATTTATATTGGTGCCAATGATGGGAGAGTCAAGCCCATTGGTTTACTCTGAGTCTAAAGCAGATTTATCACCCAAACCTGCCTCAGAGCCACTGCTGAACTCAGAATTGACACCAAAGGGCTAATTTGAGAGTTGGGTGTGCAGTACACGGCCAAACAAGGAAAGGTGAAGCACCAATGATTGGAGAGAATGAGGAGGAATCATATATATTTTTTGGAGATAGAAAATAGAAGTTTGTGTTTTCCATGATTTCCATGAGCACTGAGAAATACAATAAAGAGGAGGCTAATTTCATCAGCACACACCCTTAGCGATGACATTCGGAAGCACCGATGTAAAGTGCCTGGAAAATGAGATTTATATATGAGAAAAGTGGTTTTCAATCGGCATTTTTCAGTGTAATTAAGTTCTCGTGGTTTTATTCCCAAGTGTTTAGTTGTTTTCAAAGTATCATACTTTCCCCACCCCCCTTAAATGCCATATGTATGGAAACCCTAGACCTAGGGAAGAATTACTGTCCACTTATAAAGGAAGAATGTTTTCTCATCTGCCAGTGTAGAAAGCCAGCTTGGTACCAGCTGGCTAAAGAAAGCTGCAGAAACTAACTGCTTGATTTATATCACAACAATAATAGGACAGGCACAAAAGTGTTCCCAGAAATGGCATGTAGACAACAACCAAGGGAAAAATAACTGCAAAGAAAATGTCTTACCCAAATTGGGATCATATTCACTTATAAACCTCTTGGTTAGAAACTTCACAGTCAGTGCTGTAAAAGGTGAAACAAGGTTCGTTTAGTCTCAGTTTTGTTCGCCTCTGTGCAACTCAGCTTCACACCAGTAGCAAGTAGCTCTTGCAGCCACGTGCAAAGGGAAAGGGACAAACTCTCCCTTGAGAAATGGTTCATGGGCCGGTTTAGTTCTGCTCATGAAATTAAAGCATCCCGACACTTATTCTTTCCCTCGGGGTTAGGCTCAGAGTTCCCATCTGTCGAGTGATACAAACTATTACACAGTATATTTATACACACTCATTTCACTTTTGCTGAGCTGCAACACACTTTCGAAGGATCACTGATTAGATTTCACCAACACAATTCCCATAGGAGTTTTTCAGAAATGGGGTCTGAGCACAGGGCTGGGAACCAACAACTTCTACACTCTAATCCCACCTCTGACACTGACTAGCTGAGCCTGGTGGAGACTGGCGTAAATCCACCAGTCAATGGCACTGTAGCAACATCTACCAGCTGAGGATCCGGCTCCAGGATTCCTTTCCTCCAGCGACCCCACCGACAGAAAGATTTCACCCAAAGTTTCTCTTATCGCCAGGTGTCAAAACCAAACCAGTCCTAACTTATTACACCTTGCAACTAACCACAGCCCAGATAATGTCACTGGGCCCTCCTATCCCCAGCCAGCATGAACCAGACTGAGTTTAAAATGCACAGTAGGTACTGCCGGGAAAAGCACAGCTACATACAGCATTTCTGAGTTGGACGTTTGTTGTCCCAGGACATAGTCACAGACCCTCCATATAGTCTGAGTGCAAAGCCACGGGGAGGCTTGGGGCAGAATAAAGTCATTTGCATTAACTAGAAATTATGGGATGGCTTTTCTCATGTTTATTTACTTTATGCAACATTGTACAGACAGAAAATATGGAAGATGAGTGGCCGTACTTCCCATGTGATAATTGTGGTTATTCACTTCTGACTGCTCCCTGAACTCTGCCTACCCATCTAGCTCCACCAGGCCTTATGTTACCCTTCCAAACCTTCCATCAGGCACCAGCTGCTTATTCTTTAAAATCAACCTACCCCTTCTTCCTTCAAATGTGGAATTTCCTCCCTTGCTGCTCTCCAGTTACTCTGCTCATTTGCCACTGGCATCTGCAGATACTGACCCCTGCCATGAAACGGTAGCCAGGAAACAAAGGCTATGATTGGGCAATGCACCCCTATTTGGCAAAGCTCTTGAGGCCTGATCTGGCAATGCTGACGGGAATGGGAGCTGGAACATTGACGTCAAAGAGCACAGGGCTCAAGCCCGTAAGCGGGAGCAGAGAGTTAAACGTTTGCTTAAGAGCTCTGCTGAATGGGGCTGAACAGTAGCCTCTCCACAGCACTCCTGTGCCACTCACAACTTTCTCGCCATGTGCAGCGCAGGCTGGGCAGTACTCAATCTGCAATAGTAAGAGGTCGAGGGGCTGACATCTTGTGGCTGGAAATGGGACCTTTCCACCACGGGCGAGAAGGTGGCTCAGCTCCCAAAGCTGGAGCTCAGAAAAGCTCTCCTGGGGCGTTTTCAGATGTGTTAGCTACAGTTCTTCTCCTCCCTCTCCATGGCCTGCATGGTCAGACCTGCAGTACGAAGGCCTTTGGCTTTACGGAGATGGAGTTACACAAAACACACACCCAATCAAATTGTTGATAACTCTCTCAACCAGCTTTCCTGCTCGGTATCCTACGTATTATCTGTGGGGCGGGTAATACAAAGGGTTTACTGGCGTTCCTTTGAGACAACCTTCATAGCCCTCTCACGGCTCGGCCACTCGTGTGTAACACAGCCACCCCAAACTACTGCTCATCATTTTATACCATGCTGCCATGCCGTTATGGCAGAGAGTGTAACCAAGTACATAGGACACTGGCTGGCACTTCGGAGACCTCAGATCTAGTCCCAGCCTGGTGGATGCTCTGCTGCGTGACCTTAGACATGTCATTTCTCCTTTCTGTGCATTAATTTCCCCATCTGTAAAATGGGGAGAATTATACGTATCTCCTTTGCAGAGTACTTTGCAATCTATGGACGCAGAGCACCATATAAATGGAGGTAGATAACAGGATTAGGATCATATAGTCTGTATAATATATGAAAGGAGAAAGATATATTATACATCAGGCACTTGAGACTGATCCTGCAGTCCTTACTCCCATAACTCATCAAATGATTTTTAGATTGTAAGCTGTTTGGGACCGATACCGTCACTTAGCATGTGATTGTACCATGCCTCGCACCATGGTGCTACAAATGATAATCAAAATCAATGGGTGTTTGGTCTGTGTAAGGAAAGCAGGATCCAGCCGGATATTGAGTAGATTCATTTTGCTGCTTGTTATGGGTTGAATTTAGAACGAGGCTAGTCTGTTAAGAGCAGCCACCTCTATTCACATGTTTCTCAAAGAATGCAAGAGACATTTTAGTAAGGAAGCGGCAGCTAGCTGGGTGTCAAAATTCACCCAGGGAGCATTGTGTTGATGCAGAAATTAGGTCACTTTAATCAGTTCACTCAAAGAACAAAAGGAATGAATGAAAGTCGAAGGTCTTTGCAGTTCTTTGGGTTTGGGTGGGAGGCAGAGCAGATCAGATGTTAATCACAATTAGAACAGAGCAAAACATTTTCAGTGAATAGAGAAGTAGAGAAAAAATGCATTTTCCTGAATAATTTTTCTGAAATTATTTCCACATTCAGGTCAAAGTCAAAGAATAGTTTTGACTGAAAAAGAAAATGTAAAAGGAAATCTGGAAAAGTTGAAACATTTTTTTCTGACCATTTTGAAACATTTCATTTTGACTTTTCGATTCCAAAGGGCATTTTGTTTAGGCATGTGGGCCATTTAAAAAAAAAAGGGGGTGGGGGAAATCACCCAAAACAAAACACCAAAGTGAATTGTTTTCAGGGGAAAACCCCACTGAAAATATCAGTTTCAGCTCAAACTGGACCAAAATTTATTATTCACTCAGTTCTAGTCAGAATTGTTTAAAGGTCAACATGAAGAAATGGCCATTCCAGAGAGAAGCAATTTCCCACTACAGATTCACCCAACTTTCCCCAGGATTTCTAGCAAACCTCTTCAGGAGCCATATCCTTCTTGCCTTGCAAGAAGTGTGTTGACTTCAATCGGAATAATTGCAGGATGGTGGAACAGGTTTTGTTGGAAAATTGGCTACATACTATAGAATCTACCAATGGCCAACAAGCGAACGCTATTTAGTTTACGCTTTAGCAGGTAGTGTAAATGCAGTCATCATGGTTACAGTAAACAGAATCTAAAGGTTTTGAGCTGTAGGTCCAACCCAGCAAGGCACTAAAGCACATCATAACTTTAAGTGCATGAGCAGTGCAGTTGATTTCAATAGAGCTATTCGCGTGCTTAAAGTTAAGCATGCACATATGCACTTTGTTGGATCAGGGCCTTAGTTCTGATCATCACAATTTCTTCTCTGTGGGTTTCACCCATCTGGAGAAGGACAAAGGGAATGAGGAAAGTTCTGTTTTCCAAAAGCAGCTCTCCTCACCTGGAAGATTCCTGGGCCACATTTTATCCTGGATGGGCCACCTGGGTGTCTGGTGTGACTGCTGTGAAACCAGCGAGATACGTTTGGCCCTGTGATGAAGGCTCAAATACAATGGAGTTCCTACAGAACTACATTTGATTTCACCCAGACTACTCCCCCGGACAGCTTAGCACAATTGACGTTGTTCCAATGGAAGCTGTGAGGATCTGCCACTTTCATAACTTCAGGTGAATTAATGCCATGTTAGCAGCACTTTGCTATGTTCACCTCCAGAATGAGCGGGCATTGGCTTTTGGTTCCCTGGGCATGATCATGGGAGGCCTGGGAACCACAGGGCAGGGCCAGGATCAAGGCAAAGCTGAGTCTCTATGGTAAATTCCCATTTATTACCAGGTGGAGCAGCGGGGCAAAGTTTTAACCCTCTTGCTTGTTTTTACACCCATAGATTCAAGGAAATAATAACAAGGCCTAGAACTTATATAGTTCGTTTCCTCTATAGATCTCATAGTGCTTCATAAAGGATCAAAATCCCCACTTTACAGATGGGAAAACTGAGGCACAAAGAAGGGAAGTGACTTGCCCAGGGTCACCCAGCAGGTCAGTAGCAGAGCCAGGAATAGAACTAAGGGTCCCTTGAGTCCCAGCCCAATGCACTAGGCCACACTGCCTAAAATGAACATGAACCGAACATGTTTTACCCCAAAACCTCTCAGCCCAACCCTGGGGCTCTCTCTTGCCAGATGCATCTTTCTCTCTCTCTCGGTGTCACTTTCCTCTCACCTGATTTGCCAGATCCTCTGCATCCTAAGATCGCCACATTGCACTCAGGCAGCAGGCTGGGGAGGTGACGGTCAGTGGTGCTGGGGGCGGCCCGTGGCTTGCCAAACATCGAGGACATTCTCTTGCCTTTCAAAGAGAGCGAGGAGAAAGCATGGGAGCATCACAGGGAGACTGATCACCCTATGGGGAGGAGCTCAGGTTACCGCTTGCGAGACAGAGCGACAAGTGCTGAGTGTTATCCCCTCCACCAGCTCTATCGCCCCCAACAGATTCTGCAGCACAGGTCCACCTCTGCCTCAGCGGGATCGAAGCGCATGGGGGGGACGTACGTTACTGGGGAGACAGGCACCCCCTCCTCCTCTCTCTCTCTCCTTCCCAGTTCTCTGCAGCAAACTCATCTTCAGCACCACCTGTCAATTTCCAAGCCCCCTTGCAGGGCACCACTAACTTCTTCCCAGCCTGAAGAAGTGAACAGCTACAGGGCTTGGGAAATCAGGGCCGCAAAGTGTCGTTGGAAAGGCGCACAAAAGAAGTCTCCCGTTCTCCTGAGTGCAATTTCTTTTGCATCCTTTAAATAAGCAGCGGCCCTGCAATGCTCAGCCTCCCCACAACACACACCTCCTTGCAGGAAAGAACTCACGTTAAGTTTTGCTGTGTATTTCCTTACAATTCTCCCCCTCCCCACCCCGTCTCAACCAAACCCGCCATGAACACACGGAAAAGGATGCTTGCTTTGCAAAGACAAAGCTGCAACTGACCTCTACCCCTATGCCCTCCCCTCCCGCTATTAGAAACAGAAGATAAATTAGTCCTCTAACCTTGAAATCAGAGCTGGATTTTCATGAGGGACACAGAGAGGATGAGTTTGCTGGGCAGGCTTTGTTGTTTATATCCACAGATCCATGGTTTGCCCCCTACACACACGCTCACACTCACACGCACGCACACGCCTCCTCAAGGCAAGGCCAGGGCTGCACCCACACACCGAATCCAGAGGAAGAAGCCAGCCACCAGGCACCGATGAGCCGAGTGAATCATTGGGAACTCAGCGTCTGCGCCGTCCCCACGGCTGCTGGCTCCGGACCTCAGCCCCGCGCGTGAATGAATGAGGCAGGGAGGAAGAGAGCTCAGGCTCCCTGCAACTTTCGCCAGCTGAGTCCCAGCCAAACTCCTTGTAAGGAAAGCTGCTGCCTCTCTCAGGCTCCGCTGGATACAATTTCCCATCAGCACAGGGGACTTTCCTCACAGCAAACAAATAAACCTGCCGAAAAGGCCTCCAAGGCTCATGGTTAAAGGGGATAGAAACACAGCAGCTTGTGGTTCCCCTGGGGGCTTCTGTATGCTACAGTCCTGGCCCCTCACCCGGACACTGCAGCATCACCCTGCACTGGACGGCATCCGTGCAGCACACTCGTTACTAATACTTCCGTTATTAATAAAGGGCGGCAGCAAGAAGCTGTTAAAAGGAGAAAGAAAAACCTCTCTAGGAACCCACCCTCTCCTCTTTCCAAGCCCTCCTCAAATCACACGGCTCCCCACGAGCCTATCAAGTATTTCAGCCGCCACCCAAGGAAGTGCAGTGGCTCTGTAATAAATACATATGTATATGTGATCATGTCATCTCCTCTGCACACTGTGCTGTCTGGGTCCAGACTGCATTATCTCTCGTACAGAAACACCGGGAGACCCCAGGCAAGATCCGGGTGCCCAGGGTCACACAGGAAGTCTGTGGCTGAGTTAGGGATAGACCCGAGGTGTTCTGAGCTGCCGCCCAGTGCGCTACCCACTGGGCTGCCCTTCTGACCCGTAAATCCCTTTGGAAATGTAGCGCCCAAGGAGGTTTTGCTTTGGTCCACAGGAAATGTCTTGGGTAATTATGGGGGCGCTTGTCTAAATAAACTCAGAGCATCCGAAGAAAATAAGCAAGTAATAGCATGGGACTTGGTTTACCTGGACTGGGAGTGCTGGGGCGCTGGGGGCAGGAACCAGGTTTTTGTTATTCGTGTGTCCGGTGTCTAGCACAACGGGGTCCTGATCTCTGAGTGGCGCCTCCAGGGGCTGCTGTAACACACAGAGTACACCAGCAGTATTGTCTCAGCTATCCCAGATGCTTTGGGAAGTGAATCTGCCCGGCCCAGTTTAATGCAGCTCAGCTGGCGTTTATATATTTTTTCACGTAACAGTTAGTTGAAGGTCAACAGAGGCCAACTTCTTCCAGAAAGTGACCAAACACAGCTGAAGACAGTAGGTCCGATTCAGCTCCCCATTAGGCCAGTGAAAATCCAGAGTGACTTCCCTAACTCCATGGAGTTCCCCCCAACTCCGAGCTGAGTCAGGAATAGAACCCAGGCATTCTGGCCCCCAGTCCTAACCACTAGGTCTCACTGCTTCCATTCATTCATTTGCTATAAGAGATTTGTAGCATGCCTGTTGCTGTAGCAACTGGCTGTTGCTGTCATCTCCGAAGCTCCCTGCTCCAGCAGGTTTCAAAGGGGCTAATGCGTCTGCCAACCAAAGTGCCAGCTTGGGGGCAACACAATAAGCAAAACAGAGAAACCTCCCCACCCCACCCCACCCCCCCAAATCCCCTAATATTAAACTCAAGCCATCAATTAAAAGCTAAACAAAGTCAGCTGGTGTAAATCAGAGTCAGTGGGGTAAACTGAAGTCAATGTTGCCATGGTGATTTATACCAGATTGGGATCCAGCCCTGTCTACTTGGATCACACAGACGCGTGCTCTTGTTTGGGGATCCGTCACACAGTCCTTAGGCCTGGTCTACACCGAAAATTCAGGTCGCTCAGTGACAGCACTCAGGGCTATAACAATCCGCACCCCTGAGCACGGCAGCTATGTGGGTGTGGACACGGCTAGGGTGATGGAAGAATGCTTCCGGAGAGCTAGCTACCATCACGTGAGGAGGTGGATTACCTACTGTGAGGGAAAAAATCCCTTGCATTGCAGTAGGCTGCGTCCACACTCCGGGTTATGCCAGCCTTGCTATGGCACCATAGCTACCCGCTATAGCTCCCGTAATGTAGATAGGGTGGCCAGGTGACCCGGGTGTAAGGGTGGGAGGGGAAAAGCAGTGAGCAATGAGGGGTGGGGGAAGAGGAGTGGACAGGGGCGGGGCCTCAGGAGGAAGAGGCGTGGCAGGGGTGGGGCCTCGGGGGAAGAGGCGGGGCAGGGGAGGTTCCAGCACCCCTACTGGAGTGTCCAGTTTTTAAATATTACCAAGTTGGGAACCCTAAATGTAGACATGGCCTTGCTCACACAGGGCTGTGAGGGATTTCATTGGGAGGGAACACAGGACTGGGCTCCTGCTTTGGGCTCCGTTGGGACCAACAGCTCTCTTTTAATATACATCATTACAGCACTACTCTTCTGATTGCCATCCAGGAAAACAAGGGAGTTATTTTTAAACCTGCCAGAAATAGTCTGTGATCGCAACGGTCCAGCCTGTGCCTTGGAGACAGGCTCTGGTGATACTATCTGCTAGGTGCATCAGTTAGCTCTTTTTCAGTACTGGGAATCCAGAGGTCATGCTGGGACCACCATAGAGGCAGTCATTTTTTCATACTGACCTCTATTTCAATAAATATGGTAACTGGTCGTTACTGCCACTCCCATGGAAAAATGGCTCATTTTTCTAGCAGCTCACATAAAACAGTCTTATCAAAACACCCGTCCGTTAACTATAACCCATGACTGCCACTGACTGTAATTTACGGTGCAGTTAGCAAGGCCCTTACATAAACACGGCAAAGCACTGGAAAAGTCCGGTCACCAGGCCTAATTAACGCAGGGTCTAATCCTGCAGCCTTTAGACCAACAGCCCCTCCTTTGGGCCCGGCCTGGCCCTGATCGCACACTTACTTAAATCAGGAGTAGCTCCAAAGGGAGCTCCGAATCCAGCCCAGTGGGACTGCTCCTATGAGTAAGGTCTTAATGAACACAACACAGGCCAAAACTCGTTCTTGGCAGCACACACAATTCCATCCATTTTCACAGCCTTGCCCTCAGCTGGTGTGACTCAGCTTTGCTCTGGTGCGTTCAGAGCAGCAAGGCCGATTTGCAGCCTTCTGAAAAGGTGCCAGGCCTAGCATGAGGTCAAAGGAGCCAATTCTGACCTCACTCTATCTTTACATCACAGCTATTCCATTGGCGTCAATGAAACTAACACAAGCCCCCAAATGCCTCCACTCCAATCACCCCCAAAACATGGTATGGGCTACCCCCATGCTGCTTGAAGCAGCAGTAGTAGACTCTGCTGTCGTTTGGCGACTAGTCAAAGCCATTTATTAATTCATCCTCACAGCATCCCCGAGGGTAGTATTGCGCACACACCCCGGAGAGGGGTACGTTGAGACTCAAAGAGGGCAAGTGCCTCGCCCAGTCATTGTCAGGGCTGGGAAGAGAACACAGAGGTTCCCACTCCCAGAACCCTGCCCTAACCATTAGGCAACAGATTCATAGATACTAAGGTCAGAAGGGACCATTATGATCATCTAGTCTGACCTCCGGCATAACGCAGGCCACAGAATCTCACCCACCCACTCCTGCGAAAAACCTCTCACCTATGTCGGAGCTATTGAAGTCCTCAAATCGTGGTTTAAAGACTTCAAGGAGCAGAGAATCCTCCAGCAAGTGACCCATGCCCCATGCTACAGAGGAAGGCAAAAAACCTCCAGGGCTTCTTCCAATCTGCCCTGGATCAAAATTCCTTCCCGACCCCAAATATGGCAATCAGCTAAACCCTGAGCATATGGGCAAGATTCACCAGCCAGATACGACAGAAAATTCTTTCCTGGGTAACTCAGATCCCACCCCATCTAACATCCCATCACAGGCCATTAGGCCTATTTACCATGAATATTTAATTACCAAAACTATGTTATCCCATCATACCATCTCCTCCATAAACTTATTGAGTTTAATCTTAAAGCCAGATAGATCTTTTGCCCCCACTGCTTCCCTTGGAAGGCTATTCCAAAACTTCACTCCTCTGATGGTTAGAAACCTTCGTCTAATTTCAAGTCTAAACTTCCTGGTGGCCAGTTTATATCCATTTGTTCTGTGTCCACATTGGTACTGAGCTTAAATAATTCCTCCCTCTCTCTGGTATTTATCCCTCTGATATATTTATAGAGAGCAATCATATCTCCCCTCAATCTTCTTTTAGTTAGGCTAAACAAGCCAAGCTCCTTGAGTCTCCTTTCATAAGACAAGTTTTCCATTCCTCGGATCATCCTAGTAGCCCTTCTCTGTACCTGTTCCAGTTTGAATTCATCCTTCTTAAACATGGGAGACCAGAACTGCACACAGTATTCCAGGTGAGGTCTCACCAGTGCCTTGTATAATGGTACTAAAACCTCCTTATCCCTACTAGAAATGCCTCTCCTGATGCATCCCAAGACCGCATTAGCTTTTTTCACAGCCATATCACATTGGCAGCTCATAGTCATCCTATGATCAACCAATACTCCAAGGTCCTTCTCCTCCTCCGTTACTTCTAATTGATGTGTCCCCAGCTTATAACTAAAATTCTTATTATTAATCCCCACCTCCCTTGTGTGGGATTGCTTCTGTGTAATGGTTTTTGCCAAATGTTTGTAACAACTGACTCATGCTGAGAGTCCCATGCCCACTGGCTGTGCCAGTAGCCAGTAAAGCCAAAATTTGCAGCCATTCATCTGAGTGCCCTCCTGTCTGAGGGCTCTGTTCACCTTGCAGTGGAGGGGCTGGGTTTCTACACCAGCTCTGAGAGACAGGGCCAATGACCCAGATGCTCTGCTGTGTCCAATTCGTGGTAGCTGCAGCTGAGGGGGATCACAGTTATTGTTTGCAGCTCCTTCATCCTGAGCCCACTCCTATACTGGCCCAGTCCCCAGCGTAGTTTAGAGCAGCCTCAGCGCTGCTCTAAACTACCCCAGCTGGCTAGTATGCGAACTGGGGATTACCAGAGTGTAGCAGGGCTCTGGCCATGCCATCTTCCTCCCAGCCTTGTGAGCAACACAGTCCTTACACCAGAGGATGGAAGTATAAGTGTTATGTATTCCCACTCTAAGATGATCTAGGGATGCCCTCACCCTAGGGGAATGCCCAGCCAGCTGGCTCCACTGGTTTACAGCTGCTTTGCACTAGCCCAGTGCAAAGGGATTGAATCTAGACCAGTGTCTTTGAGAGCGCAGTAGGGAAGTGCATATAACACCTATAAGAAGGTGTAGGGTGCCAATCAACCCATCCCTATGGTGCTTCTAGTGACTCCATCAGAGCTAGGGCCCCGAGCCCTTGCATGCTGGGAGAGCACAGACCAAGGCTGCATTTGGTCCTTGCACAGCTCACAGGGTAAAGGACCCAGCTCCTAGCACCTCCAGACCCCCCAGCCCTCATGGCCCCACTCATAGCTAGCCACAGTCTATTCCCTGCCACCACTTTGCTACAGGTGGACCGAGGGAAAGACATT